TGTTTTTACTTCGTGTGTGAGGGCGCCTACCGCGTCCGAGGTTGACAGGCCGGCCAGGCAGCCACATTGGTGAGGGGAGAGGAGCCCTTTTTCCCGCACAAGGGGGGCCAATCGCATTGTAACTATTCTTTCCAATATCTTGGACAAGGTGCGGAGGAGGACAATTATTCTGAAGGCAGCTGGAGACGAGTAGTCCGTCTTGCCTGGCTTGTCGAGCACGATGTCATTTGCCTGTTTCATTGTTGTGGGGTGGTAGCCTGACTGGAGGAGTGGTGATAGTAGGGATGGGATAAGTAGAGGGGCCACCCGGTGCACTTCCTTCCAAACCCCATATGGGATCCTGTCAGGCCCAGGTGCCGAGGTGTTGGAAGAGGCACGCAGCGCGAGTGCCACCTCTTCTGGCGTGATGGGGGGGCCCTGTGCCAGGCTGCCTGTAGTAGGCTCGGAAGGAGCTAAGCTGCGTGGGGGGAAAAAATGTGTGAGGAGAGCGTTGTTGATTTCGGACGGATCTTCGAGGCCAGGGAAAGCAGGGAATCTGGTGGGCGGTTTGCCTGCTGCCATGCGTCTCGCCGACCAGATAGACCAGTGATCCATATTGGCTAGGAACTTGTCCCAGTGTGCCTTTTTTGCCTTTCTCAGGGCCCTATGGTAGGAGGAACGGACTCGTTTGAATTCCGCTTGGAGTACAAGGCTGGGGTGGGCCCTAGCCTTTCTGGCCATGGAGTGGAGGATGTGCCTCAGGGATGAGAGGGCCTCGGACCACCATGGCTTGGACTGGACCGACGGGCGGGACGTTGGAGTGTGACTGGTGAGAAGGTGGGTAATTGTTCTGTGGTTGTGGTTGAACCAGCCCTCGAGGGCCAAAGGATCTTTGCTGGAGGGAGGGGCAGTGAGGGTCAGGTCTTGGAGGAGGGGGGCAAGCAGTCCCCAGTCAGTGTGGTCCCACCTGAGTGCTGGCGGCGGCGGGCGAATGAGGGGTGCTGAGAGGGAGAGGAGGATGGCTAGGTGATCCGACCCAGTGTGGGGGAAGGGTGTTGACCAAGATTCCACAAAGGGGGCCAGAGGTGGGTTAGCGAAAGCCAGGTCAAGGACTCCGGGCCTCTGGTTAGGGCTGAAAGGGAAGCGGGTGAACTCCCCGGGGGTGTTGAGGAGGGAAAACCCTTTGTCTGCTGCCCTCTCGAAGTATGGAGCTGATCTTCCTAGGTCGTGGGAGTCGATTTCACGGAGGGGATCCGAGAGAGGGTGGTGGATGTTGAGGTCACCCAGGGAGAGTAGTGGGGACTCCGAGGAGGGGAAGATGTCTCATGGGAGGAAGGAGTGGCGAATGGCACGGGTGCCTTTGTTTATAGAGTAACTGTTGAGAATAGTGAGGGAGCGCAACCTTGGTGAGAAGATGCCGCCAGGGGCTAGGATGTTGAGGGCCATCTGGCCAGGGGAGAGGTACTGTGGGGAGACTTGGGTGGCCTCTATGAATGATGTGAGGACGTAGCATGCCACCCTTGGCTTTTCAGGGCCATCCAGTGGGGGTGAGAGGGAGCGGTAACCAGTGAAGTGTGGAAGGCTGTTGTTGTGGGAGGGTGGGTCCTGAAGGGCCACAATCTGAGGTGGAAAGGTACAAGAAGAAAAACAATTAAATAAAGCCAGAAATACGTCCCAACTGCCGAGGCAGTTGTGTTGACAAACATGTAGAGAGGGGAGAGGGCCAGTGGGGCCAGCGGGTGGGGAGGAGGAGGCACCTGAGAGACTCTCGTGGGATGGTGTATTAGACATTTTCGTCCTCTTGTTGTGGTGGGGGGGGGGCGTTAAAAGGTGGCGCAGGCCGGACAGCGCGGGGGTTGAACATCCTACGTGCCCTTTCTTCTTTGCTCAGGGCCTGGAAGGCTGGGGCTAGGGAGGTACTTGTTGCAGCGCTTAGGGTGAAGAGGGATCTGGGGGGGTTGCCGGAGGTAGGAGGAGGGGGGGGGAAGGCAAGTGGATTCCTTGATGGGGGGAGGACACGACGGGGGAGGCGTTGACCTGGGCCGCGTACCACTGTATCTAGGGGGGCAGGGCGCTGATTACCCTGGGGCTCATTGGGCGTAGCGGGGAGGGCAGAGGTGTCCATCTCTTCTGGGGCTTCTTCCCGCTGGGGCGGCGCCGGGCGGGCAGGACATTCTCGGTCGGAGGCTTGGTGCTGGTTACCACAGCAGCAACAGCGGAGGGGGGATGTAGCGCAGCAGGCTGGGACCAGTTTGAGGTGGCCATCTTTGGGGCAGGCGGGGTTCTCACACCTGTGCTCGCTCCTGGTGTGGTGGAGAGCGCAGATGGGGCAGGAAGGGTGGTCTGCTTTGCAGGCTTGTTGAATGTGGCCGTGACGCCAACACTTCCTGCATTGCGAGTACTTTGACGATTTGTGGGCCCTTTGGACCTTGCAGGGGCGGGAGAAGAGGCGGATGTTGTCCCCTACTAGAGAGGCGTCTTCTGGGGATACCACGATTACAACTGAGGTTGCCCTTCCCAGGGCCCTGGTAGCTGGGTCAGGCTGGAGGAAACGGGTGGCAAGAATGGAGACCTCGCAGGCGTTGCGGACTCCTTCGTACATGACCTGGAAAAGGTCCTCTCCCTCAGTGGGGAGGAAGTCGAGGGGGATGCGGTGGACAATGAGTTGGACCTCATTTGGAGCCAGCCGGAAAGGGAGAAAGGAGTTTGTTCCCACTGGGAATGCTTGGTTGAGGGTATTTGTGAGGAGGTTGAAGAAAGGCAAGTAGGAGGAGGCATGTGTTTGTGGTGAGTTGACAAGAAGGGTGACTGCTCCCTTCGCATTGCAGGAGCCGGTGAATGAGAGGGGGAAGGTGCAGTTCGCTTCTCTTAACGCTTTGGCCGCTATGTCGGGGAAGGTTGCTGCTATGCGGGGTCCCAGCTGGTGGGCTGAGGGGGAGGTACGAGGTGAGAAGAAACGGTGGACAGCTGAGGGTAGCGTGGCAGGGCCTTTTGATCGAGGTTCCTTTGCCGAAGCTTCTGCTACTTTTGCTGGGGAGGATGCTGAGGGTTTCTTTTTACCTGATTTGGAGGGGAGGGGAGGCTTTGTGGAGGCGGAGGCTGCTGCTTTAGCGAAGGAGGGTTTCGATGGGGCCTTTTCTGACCCTTTCTTGGGCGGAGGTGCCACGGAGGAGACCCTGGCCGTAAGCGAGTTGATTGAACCCTGAAGGGCAGTGAGGTTTGGAGCTGGTGCTGCCGGGCCCTGTTCCTGTGGGCGACCGAGGCGTAACTCCAGCGAGTTGAGGCCAGCTGCAATGTTGGCAAGGAGGACGATGATGATAGATTCTCCAGCGGAGAAATCCTGGACGTCATTTTTGTCGACGAGAAAGGGGAGCGCAAAGGCGGCGGGGAGGAGGGAGACCTGGTTATAGGCCTCTTGTTGGTGAACATCGAGGGGGCCAGGAGAACCTGCCCTTGAACCGAGAGATGGGGAGGCAACCCTCGAGCTGAGGGCGGAGGATCTGGCGGAGGCTCGAGCAGAGGCCATGAGCGACCTGGAGCTAGCGGCCCTTCCAGGGGGCCTAGCGAAGGCAGAGGGAATGGGGGGGGGCTGGGTAGGCATCGGTCATTTCCTCCGACATCAGGGCGGATTACTAGGCGAACCCAGATATCTCACCACCACTGAAGCGAAGAAAACAAGTGTTTTTTGGTGGCAAAGAGCAAGAACAGAGTTTTTGGTGAAGCTTGTATTTCAATGACTGGGTATGAATGGGGGGAGATAACTTAGGGGAAATTCCCGTCCCTTTATACCCAAGTTCCAGTCATGTGCGCAGCCACCCAACCAAGGAAATATCTATGTGTTATACACGGTCGCAGGTGTGAGTCACACCGACTCATATCTGCAGCCGTACAGGATAAGCAAGTCGTTCTAATTTTAACAATGTATACTCTTTCCTATAAACTTAACCATCATTTCATCAATAGCTACTTCTGTTGCAGGATGTAGGTAGCCTTGTGAAGCTAATCGTAAAGGAGCTGCCATAGGTTCAACCTTTTCATACCATGGTGGTATGATATGTTTTATTGAATTTTCTTGTCTGGTAGATTTGTTACTCAATTTCTGAAAGATAGGTATGTCAGTTTCTATTGGTTTCTCAACATTTGATATATAAAAAAACCACTTAATTTGTTGAAAATGAGTAAGAGTCATAAAGCGTATCGGTGACTCTGGGTAATTAAATTCAGCACTCCAGTACAGGTTTTGGCCGCAGTGTTTTTGCACTATTCCTATGCAATCCCATATATATAATAATTGCAAACCAAATTTTCAACTCTCCTTTACTCATTTCATACCAGGGACATGATGTTCCTTCCGCTGCTTTTTTCCTTTTTACATAGAGGTTCATATTTTGAACTAACTCATCCAGTGTATTATCACTAATAAAAAGTTTAAAATAGGCTAATGGACTGAATATATTGTGCCCAGGAGGTACTCGAGCTTGGGCCTGATGTGGTGGACTCTGATGTATGAACGGTGTAAAATGTAGAACCTTATTTAGTAAAAGAGGCTTATAATCATCGGGTTGTGTAAGTATCTCGAATGAAATCTGTGTTGCTGGATCCCAATCATCCAATTCTTCATCCATCTCCTCCGCCTCTGTTTTCTCTTGCTCTTTTTCCTCCTCCCCATACTGCTCCGCATCCTCCTCCTCCTCTCCTCCACTGCTTCCTGCTATTTCGTAGTATCCTATCCCTTCCCCCTCAGGAAATTCATCCTTATGCTCTGCTCCTGACATCTTTCTACAAGTACGGCAGATAGATATATTCGTCACATGCGACTGATAAGAGAAAAGTGTAGTTGACCTTCTTGTGGTATACCCAGATAATGCACGTGATGAATATATTTATTGGCCGCACTCGTAATATGTGAAGTATTTCAAATCTGATGATTGAAGTTGATAAAAACAATTTCAGCATAAACACAATCACGTTGTGTTCCTTTTTTTACACTAGTGTTTGACTGCCACCTTATTCATCTTTTGCTATTCACACAGTTTCTCTTGGCTGTTGCACTAACTAATTATTCACTAGTTCATCCACGTTGTATCGCAGATTTCTTGGGCGCAGGGCCTGACAAACTAAGGGATACATACATAGCCCAGGATGACACCAAACAAATACCCGTACTGGGCACTCAACTCTAGACCTTTTCCTTCTTGGTAAGCTATACTCCACGGGGTAACAGAAATCAATCGCTAGCCTCATAATCATACTCATCCCCTTCCCCCTCCTCGACCACTTGGCCATGAATGCCTACCGCTGCCATACAATACTCACCAAATACCAGTCTAAACTGCCTGAGATTTAGTTTTTTGCCTGAGGGGGAAATCGATGCAGAGTCAGGAATCTGCTGTGCTTTGAAATAGTCATCTGCCCGGTCTTCGGGAACAACAAAAACGAAATCGATGTTCATAATTGTTTTTGGTAAACATTTCAGAAGCTGCGCCACCCCAAGTGGCTTTATCTCATGCTTCTTAGCCAGTGTGATTTGGAACAAGAGCAATGTTTCCACATCACTAAACATAAGCCCATCCACAGATGGAAAGTTGCGGCTATAAGGAAGAAAATAATGATGGACAACTGCAGGATTAATTCCGCGACCTCCAAGTCCCTGGACCTGTTCGCTCAAATTGTCCCCCGTAGTGAAGTATCTCGGTTGGCCCGATTCGCTCTTGGTGGAATGGAATTGGAGGGTAGCCACTGTGCTGTCAAGGATAGGCATTTGGTCTGCTTCAAAGGTACCACCTCGAAGGAGCCAGTCATGCACATACCCTTCAAAAAACCAACCTGCAGCAGTTCTCAAAGCGGGGTGACGGGAAAGGCACTTGAACGTCTCGAAACAGCCATGTTGTGAGTGTTTCTGGGCTTTTTCATACACTCGATAGCCAATCCATCTTGTTATTATTCGTGCTGTATAGGAGAATCCACCCTCAGTAGGATCCATAATAGCCATTTTGTGTGATGAGCCTACAAGGACAGCATGCTCAACCGTCTCGCGCCCACCACGGGCAACGAACTTCGCTATTTCACGATCTACCTCCCTAAGGTAGTTTTGGAGAGTTTCGTTGTATAAGTTATCGTCGCTCATATCAATCGATTCAAGGCATGTACGAGCGACAGGGCCGAGGCAGGTATACGTGGTGAAGAGTTTATTAATCTCGTCTTGGCTGGGGGGGTTCTCAGCTTCCAAGCTATAATACGGAGATCAGCAACCATATCAAAATTTTCTTTGGTCTCTATCTGGTTACAAGAAAGGGTTCTTTACCAGTACGCAGCAAAGATTTCTGGCCATGGCCAATTTCTCATGAAATATAAGCTCACTCTGCGGTTCTTGTACCATCCCTGAGATGCTCTCACCGTCTCTGGAGATGCGGCAAACACTACAAACCATCCCGAATTCCTATCATGCCAATGGCGGCCGTGCAGAGGCTCATCAGTCAATACCCATAGTTTTCGCTTCTTCTCTTGTGTCAGCCGAGATAGCGCCTGCATGCTAGTCTCTTCCCCAGCTGAGTCTTCGTCGAATAGGAAACACATGTTGTCGTTTATCCTGTATATGGTGGGAAGGGAATCATGCAGTCTGCGTACTAGAAGATAGGAGAGAAGATAGGTTTTTCCTATCTCAGAGTTAGAAGTCTTGCCAAACATGATTGGAGGAGCAATAACTAACCTACACCAGGCTGACCTGAGAGTTCACAATCTAGCCTGCAACTGGCGGTGGGGTTCTCCCAGTGGCGAGCCCCCGACCATCTTCTCCCCTCAACTTCTATTAACCTATTGCGCACCGCATCGTACTTGGACCGAACCAGTAACTTGTGGACTCCACAGGGTAAACGTGAATCAACAGTCACTATCCGGAATAGCTGGTCCTGCCGTTTCGACTTCAATGAACTATAGGGGTTGAAGCTGCTGCTACTTGCGGTCGATTCCAAGGGGATTTTGTATCCAGGCCAGATACCATAGTTTGCAACAGGAACATTCACTGTGAACTCCTGGACAACGGGGGATAACTTTCCCCACAACTCGTGGTACAGAACTTGCATATCTTGCTGCATCGTGTTTATGGTATTTGAAAGGTGTGTTCCTGAATTTGGTGAACTGTAGACTTTTGAGGACTTGTTCAGTGATGGAAGTTGAAGTATGGGTTGTAGCAAGAAGGGTGTTGCCAACGTGGCCCTATAGTATGCCAAAATCCGTAACAGGCTACGTGTCGCAACCAAATCTCATTTTAGCGGCTCTGAGACTATACTTTAATGAGTTTACTGAGTCTAGTCCAAAAGAAGTCATCTCCTTACATATCCTCAGCCCCAACCGGGGTCCTTACGACTACCAAGGTGTTAAGTAGGCTACCGCTGCTATAATGACTGACGAGCGGAAAGAGATTGTTCAAGAGTGGGCTGAAGAGTTTAAATTGGATGGGCTGTGGAGTGAGGATTGGAATGCAGGCGGACAGGGCAAGGAGATAGAGATACAGGATTGATGATCCTGTAGAATCTTTTGTTTTTCTTTATATGAAAGCCTATATTGTGCTTGCTTTGGTTTTTTTTGTAGTGGTCCGCCATAGCGCTCTAGCTTTTCGTAGATATGAGCTACAAATGTATAATTCCGGCTGCCCATACGTCTAATATCGTTCGCACACAAAACCCTAGTCTCGGTAGCCACCACGGACCCAGGTGGGGGAAATCATAATCACTATTGTACTCGAGTACAGTAGTGCTAGCTGAGCAGAAGCCCGTATGGGCACCCACCAGCGATACCCATGTAAACCCGGGAGGTGTACTGTACCCCTCACCACCCCCATCAGTGATGAAAATAGCTTATCACACTCGAAATCGTATAAGCAAAATAACAGGTATAACCCAACCTTTATATCGTCTCCCACCCTGCTCCTTCTTTCTTTGCTCTGCCCCTTCTACGAACCAGGAAAATTTACGACCCGACACTCTTGGCGAGCCTGCGCTACCGCCTTGTCGTCGTGACGGGTGGGTATACAATCGAACAGCTCGAGCAGGTGAATATCCGCCTCCTCAACTACCTCACCGATCGTGCGGATGATCCCATTGCGATTCCGGCAAGCAGGGATTTCACACACACCGCTCATGCAAGCACTAGTGACCTTAGGGAGAGCGGAGGTATTGGAGGCAGAGGTTTTAGGACTGCCTAGCTGGGTTGGGCTGGATAGGTATTGATGAAAAGCAGGCGAGACGGGTTCCGGAACTTTTTTTTCCTTCTTTTTTTATTCTATTCTTCCTAGATTTGCTTCGTCCTCGTTTCCGCTTTGGATGCCGGGGGGATCGTATCCTTTCCTATTTACCCATGCAAGCAATTACCAATTGCTGGCCAAACATGAGAAAGGGAGTGGTAATAAAGTCAAATATCCGGTAAAGAAGCAGAAGCTGCGCGCTGCTAGCAGAAAGGAAGAACGGCGGAAGAAAAAGGGGAATGCAGCAGCTAGGAGAGAAATTCAGGAAGGGAAGAAGCTAAGGAAACGGGTGGGAGGTCTGATGAGAAATTGACAAGCTTTGGGTGGGGCGGGGACATGGTGGGATTCTGTCAGTGGTATTGATAATTAATGTAAGCTCTAGGCTTGGTATCAAGTTCAATTTGTGCTGGACACAGTGACTATCGAGGAGTGTGCGTGTCCCAACATATTATGTTGGCATACTCGGATACCTGTATGTCCCTGGATCAGAGCAGGTTAGCGGACTATAAAGGAGAAGGCTAGAGCCCAGAATTGGGGCTTCGCATGAAAATAGCCTGTACCAGGTGCAGGAGCAGAAGAAAACAGATACCATATTCAGAGCCTCTTGGGAGTGCCGAGGATCAGCTTCCCTCTGGCGGAAGGATTCTGTCGTTTGTGATCCAGTAAGTAGCGCGATGAGCGGGCGATTCTTTTAGAACCGGAGGGGATTCTCGGGTTTTGACTGTAGGTTTAGGGAAAGTGTTTGACGTCGGGGAAGAATTTCGGTAGAGGACTGTGTTATGTCCCAACTGGCGGTAGCGCCTTACAGCGCCCGAGTGTGTGGAATGAGCTGCAGGTAAAAAAGCTGGTACTTCACTGAATAACTCCACAAAAGTGTAGATAATTATACTCTTTTTGCCCAACTCTAACCCATAAACATTGACTCTGATTACGATGCACGAGTGGAGTCCTGTCAGACTGATCTCTCCTGAGAGATACTATCCCTGCGCGGCATTTCCCACGCCAAGCATCCACATTGTCCATGCGCAAAGCTTAACCCAACCTACAATTGTGCACTATACCTTTATCCGTCGAACCAACGACCAGCCCATCCACTTTTATTCTCCGCCGTATCGCTGGGAACCTCAGATTCGACCAATCCCTTCACCCCAGCCTCAGCAATCTCCACTGCCCATCTGCTTACATCTAAAGCTCCTCTGGGATCGCCGGGCTCGGCAGCAGCCTCTCCACCAGCGAATTGAGTTGTGTCTCGGTGCGCAATGTTGTCTGGCATACCTGATCGTGTTCATCCCCATTCTCCAATCCACCTCGTTCCCCCCTCCGCCTCCCAATCCCAACATGAGATAAAATAAATTCTACATAGCAATGACAAACACACCTCATAGCTCCTTGAGACCGACAAAACCCTTGCATTCCTCGACATCAATCCTCTCTCCAGTGCACACGCGGCAACCTCTCCTCTTCTGCCCTCCCCCACCTCCTCCCACAGGCAAGTAAGCGAATAGCTAACCCACATCCAGCTTGTAATCCCCAAACCCCACCTCGAAAAGCTCCACCATGTGCCTGGCGCAGAACTCAGCAAGCGCCTCTCCGCCGCAAACAAGCTCTCGATAACAGTCCTTCCAGTAGAGCACAACATTTTACAAAATGGGCGTGGGGCTCATCAGCTTATTGATCATGTTTATATTCATATGGTAGGTCCCCCCATTAGGCCATGCTCGGTGGAAGCGTTTGAAGGGCTAATCATTTGGTGGTGTTGCGTAGATTCCGAAGCCGAATACAAAGCAGGGGCTGGGGATTGAGCGGCCAGCGCAGGCTACTGATATGGATTGGTTGAAGGTGCTGTTTGAGGGATTGAAGACGAGGATTTAGAGGAGGCGAGGGAATAGGGTTGAAGCATTGCTTTTTTAAATGTGTGGGATACGATCGCACCATTCAATTGGTTTCTGTGACAGTAGCAGAAAGTACCTGGCCTAATATAAAAGAAAACGGTGAAGACAGCTCAAAGCCCTCAATTTCTTTCTCTCCCCGGACCCCCTCCTCCTTTTAAGCGTCTAGCTAAATTGGGCCTCACGGGTTGCCCTATCCCACCTCGGTCCATCCACCTCTCGAAAACCATTCTCACTCGCTCACTGGCTCCCTATCACGCAATCGTTTGCAATGAAAAAAGAGTAAAGTGAGCAACCGAACCCAACTGAAAGAACGGTAACTGGAAAAAGGAAAGGGGCGAGGGTAGTGAAAACTGCATGGTGGTAAGATGTGCATAGGGTACGGCGTGATTAGGAGGCATGGAATTCATGTATAGCTCGGGATGGTATAGATATAGGACGTTAAACAGCAGGGAGAGGTAAGAGAGCGGTGATGATGATGGTGATAAAAAGTAATATTCTATGCATACACTAACATGAACGAAAAGAGAATGAGTACTGTTTCTTGATCGATAAAGTGAGATGAGCAAATCAGTGGAAAGGAGGAAGCTTCCATCCATGTTCTCGCAAACTCATCTCGAGTCGGAGAAGCATGTGTGGTTCTTCTCCTGTGTCCGCCCTGTGTGGCAATTTTCTCCCAGGTCAGTCTCGTCCTGTCGTATGCAAGGAATCAATTTCAACCCGCTAATCTGGTCTTTCTAGATAATTTCTTAATGATCTGCTACCCGTTCCTGAACTTCCATCCGTCCGAGGGCATATTTTCCTCAAAATCTAATAGAGGAGAAGGGCCCAGAACATCGTGCATGTACCCAATCATTTCTTAGCCTCTCCTTTCTAAATAATCTTAGCCTTCGTTGGAGTGAACACCCCCGGTACCCCATAACTACCCCAGCACCGGCACCACTGCCCCTCTTTCCAATCCCTCCCAGACCGGGGCTCCTCGTGCTCATCCGTGCATTCCTTGTTCTCCTCCACTCCACCATCCCCCTCGCGGCGCGAACCTGCGCTTCCAGTAGCACAGGCTCACCACTGCTCACTCGCCCAGTGCCCTTCAACCCCTCTCTTAAACCCACCTATCCCTCCCGCAGTGCAATATACTCCATCCTGATCCTCACGACATACCTGCGCGCCTTCTCTTGATGTGTGCCCACCAATGCGAGTAACTCCTTGCTCGCGCACGGTAGTCCAGCCTACGAACCCGCGTCCACGGCGAGTCTGACCTCGCTCGATCGCGCTGAATTCCCGGACTATGGAGGTGTAATTCCGGGCGTGCTGGCGGGAGAGCGTCTTCAAGGGATGTAGGATTGTGCTGGCCTCGTGGGTGAGAGCTGAGAAAGTGTTGATGTGGCGCATGAGTATTTCGGGCGGGAGAGGATGAGAGGTGTTAGGTCTGGGAGGACGGAAGGTGGAGGTAGGGGTTGTTTTTTTGGGAGATATTTATAGAATGGGGGAGGTGGTGGGAGGTGGTGGTTGCAGTGCTGGAGGGTTCAAAAGTTGGCGGAGTCTGAGCTTGTGAGTCTTGATAGGAAGAGGGGGTGGGTTGAGAAGGAGCATACTAAATGAGCAATCGACTGACAGTGCTTTCGAAGGCTTGGAACAAGCCTGCCACATCTCCCGCCTGGGTCGCAAATTTGAAGAGGAGGCCTGAGAGGGTGTGCTTGTGGTCTAGGTCGCTGTGTCTGACCACAGTACTCAGATCACTGACTGCTACCCCATCCCGCCCCAACAACCCCGCGAGAGCAAGGTCTCGATTGAGAGGAGTCCCAGGAAGTCTACAGTCGCATACTGAGAAGCGTTATACCCCTCGTAAGCACACCTCGCCTGCGCCAAAGACTACCTCGTGGTTATTTCTGCCCTTGGGAATCTATTTTGCAGCATAGCATAACCAGGCTCAGATATCAGAAAAAGTGCGTTCCGAAAGAGTAGCTCTTCCGATGGCTCCGGACTTACTTCAAATAACATCCAAAGGTCGCTTTCGATCCGTGCATGCCCCCAAAGACAGAGCTCTCGCTGACCCCCGAAGCTAAAGATGAGGAGGAAGCTATGGGGATACCTTCAGATTGTCGAAGAGAGATTTTGGGCTCATCTAAAACTCAAACATTTAGCCTTACTCGAAGAATGGGTGATATTCAAATGAGTATACCAAAATCCAACTTCGTCTAGAAGAGACTGTCCAGGCTGGGGATACCACTAGTCTCCCTACCACTCGTTGCCTTAACTTCTTCCCTTCCCAAATCTCTCTCCTAGCTGTCGCGTTCCCCTTTTCCTTCCGCCTTTCTTCCCCGCCGACAGCAGCGGGCAGCTTCTGCTCCTTTACCGGATATTTGACTCTATTACCACTCCCTTTCTCATGTTTGGCCAGTAATTGGTAATTGCTCGCATGGGTAAATAGGAAAAGTTACGATCCCCCCGGCATCCAAAGCGGAAACGAGGACAAAGTAAACCTTGGAAGAATAGAAAGAAAAAAAGGAGTAAAAAAAGAGGGGAAAAAAAGAGGGGAAAAAAAAGTGCCGGAACCCGTCTCGCCTGCTTTTCATCAATACCTAATCGAATTCTAATCCAGCCCAACACAGCTAGGCAGTCCCAAAACCTCTGCCTCCAATACCTCCGCTCTCCCTAAGGTGGCCAGTGCCTGCATGAGCGGTGTGTGGGAAATCCTCGCTTGCTGGAATCGTAATGGGATCATCCGTGCGATCGGTGAGGTATTTGAGGAGGCGGATATTAACCTGCTCGAGCTGTTCAATCGTATACTCGACCGTCTCAAAGACGAGCCGGTAGCGCAGGCCTGACAAGAGTGTCGGGTTGCAAATTTTCCTGGTTCGTAGAAGGGGCAGAGCAAAGAAAGAAGGAGCAGGGTGGGAAAAGATGTAAAGGTGAGGTTAGGAGGGAGGTTGGGAATGCGGGGCAGGTGTTATGGTTGAGGTTTGTGAAGGGCCGTGTCCGAGGAACTGGTGGGGATTACTGTTTTTTCGGTTTGTTAGCCATGTTATGGAAAGTAGCCAGAGAGGGGAAAGAACCCTTGAGTGTCTGGGAGTTGAAACTCATGTGTAGATATTCCACCAAAGTTGCGAAATAAAGGCAGGTTCACGGGGAGGGGTATCCCATTGCTGTTACTACAAGGGTGGAAAATGGATGGGAGTTCAATCCTGCCGTTCCATCGCTCGTGGGCTTTCCGGAGGTGGTCCTGAGGAATAATTCATAAGAGCGAAGACTAGGGGATAGGAGCGAAGCCCAGCGCAGCGCAGCGCAGCTCCAGGTTGAGATGCCGCCTGCAAGATGCCATCAGCCACCGCCACCAACGACCACCAAAAATTGCCAGCAATGCCGGAAATACTCCTGTTAATTGAAGGAAACTAAGCGGGGGGGGGGGGGGTTGCATGCTTGCCCTCTAGCACTAGTACGCACTGTGACTGTAGCGCCGGAACTGCAAACTAACACTACTACAAGTAAACGTTATCGTCAGTTTTCACAACAGTCTGCAGGAGTGTAGATGAGTGGACAGGTGGACGGGTACAAGCAGAGGACGGAAAGACTCACCATTGCGAACATGTATTTTATCGCACTACTCGCTAGACCCTTCGCCGACATACTTGTTATAACTACCCCCATTACCACCACGCTCCATAATGCCTGAGTGATGCGTAGAGCAAGCTGGCCTTTACGAGAATAGCCGTATTCACCATGATGCCCTAGTATTATTTCGTTCCCCGAACCCTTTGGCTCTGCGACAACCACCACGTCACAGTCCAAACCGCACCTGCATTTGTGCTGATTCCTGACTCTCCTTGTGGTGGTGAGGTCCCGGAGACCCTGACCCGAGCGTTGGAGTTGTTGAAAATGCTGCTCGGCATGCAATCGCTATCGCCCGCTCCTTTGTATCGCTATTGCCTGTCCGTTCGCACGCTATCGCCCGCTCGTACACCATCCTTTGTCACATGTTCGTGAGCTGTCGCCCGTTGGTATCGCTGCCGTTCCCATTTCCATTACTGTTATCATTACTCTTTGTCGCCCGTTCGCTCGCAGCCGTCGTGCGGAAGTTGTCATCCGTTCGTCGCTGGAGGAAAGATCATGGGCATGGACG